GTCCCCCAAGGCCAAAGGAAATGTGTACATTTTCAATTATTGGATACATCCAAGTAACTTAATAAATATTTGTGTCACACTCTTATGTCAGAACTTAATACACAGAAATTGGAAAAAAATAAAAATACTTTTATTTCATTCTCAAATAACCATGCTGACTTGCTAATGGGATGTGTGTCCATCGAGCATTTCACAGATTTCCAGTCTGGGAACCAGACTGTACTTGGCCACCCTCATCTCCTATCCACACTGATTTCTGCACGGTACTTGCTTTTTTATCTCAACACCTGCCAAAAAACATGGTTTTGCAATACGTGCTAACATTGAAGGAATACAGTATTCTAAAGTTAGTAGTTCATACAATATCAAGCATATATCAAATATTGCTGTTTTCCATAAAAAGTTAAAATCTACTCCAAGATCCCTGTGCGTTCTCTGTGGTGTTCAGGGAGGCTTGGTGCTCAGGTTGGTCAGACCATTCAGTGACGGGGTAGGGATGGCAGGGGAGGCACTGTAAGTGAGAGCTGCTGAGGTTTGATTTCCGTGGTCAGCACAGTCAGCTTGACTAAGGAAGGTTAAGACAGATGTGTATATTACAAGAATAAATTCTACTAATATTAGCATATGAAAAATATCCATTATTTAATGTTCGTAGGGGATGAGGTGTTCTCTGGCTAATTTTCTGGGTAATTAAGAGCTAATCAGAACACGTTTTTCTTTCAGCTGTTACTGTTGAAAAATCTGCTGGCTCGGACTCAGTTCACTCCTGAGATTGTGAGTACAGAGCCATGAGGATAACGGGGCATAACTGCACTGCATTCTCCCAGGTCTGCAGGCTGCACAGTCATGATTGCAAATAATTCTATTGTCCTCCCTACCAGCCACACTGTGATCCAGAAATACCAATGTCCAAGTAAATCTCCACAAAGTGAATTTTATTTCCCTACAGGAATTGCATTTCAAAAGCGTTACATTCCCATCCAGGCATGGCATTAAATAAATCCTAGATGTGACCACCCTAGGCTATTCAAAGGCATGTAGATGCAGGATTAAAATCCCTTACCCACAGATTCTGCAATCCAAAAAAGTTCAGAAAACCGGGTCTTCATGGTAAGTTTGTGGCAAATTCATTTGGCTCAAAACCTGACTTCAAGGAACTCAGTTGGAAGCAAAATCTAACCTAAACTAGAGCAGGGCTGAAGTTCCTCTTTATTGTGAACTTTTGTATTTTGCTGCAGAAATGCTGTTAAGATTAACTACAGAGTGCTGCCCCAGACCCTAGTAGAGTATGTTTTATGATAGATTCGCCCTTAGGCCAGTCTACACCAGAAAAGAAAAAATCTGAATTTCACAACACAACTGGCCTCAGGTGTTTTTTAATAAGAGCCAGTTAGTCTTTATAAGCTGGTCAGGAAGGACTGTACAGATCTTCTAGATCCATTAACATTATAAATGGAAAAAGAAGCCTAGACACATGTGGGAGGGACAGGAAACATGTTCAAAACCACATACTCAGTTTGGAACTCAGCCAAGACAGTGCTCCTTCTCTGGCCACCTGCTTGCTCATAGCCTCACAAGATGGCCAACGCATGTACTCATATATGGTGAGGACACATGTACACAGCACACAGTGTCAACAGGGCCCACCCAAAGTATGCTTCAACTGAGATCCTAAGTTGAGCTATCCAAAACTTAGTATGTCATCTGTTATAAGAATTATGAATAATCCCACTTTGTTGCTAATAATTTAAAAGATTTGAGAGAGGTCAATTCAAAGGCACTCGATATGATTCCTGAAAATTTGTCTGGTCAACATTTAACTAATGATATCTTCTCTAAATTATTTTCCTTTCAGCAAGTGGAAACGAAGGGGTTTTTTGTTCTGTCAAATGATTGCCATTCAGAATCTCTAAATAATTGAAGGAATTGCTAAGAACTTGAGTTGTAAAGATGGGAAAGATGACATAGCTGCTCATTTCCTCCATTGCAGTTTGGCTTAGACTTAGAATTGGGCAGACCTAGTATGGAATTCCAATTTCAGTAGCTATAGCCTAAGGCTGATTATCTATCCTCGATTACTTCTGGCTTTTTAGCTGAAAAATAGGATACCAATACCTTAACAGATTCTTATGAATCTTTAAATTAAAATATATGTACCTTATTTATTCTAGGCACATAGTAAATGCTCAGTAAATGACAGAAAATCAGTTCTTCCTTCTTCCCTCTTCTCACCCTCTTTACTCTGTCATGGAGAATGATTGTTTTACTGGAATGTCACAGGGAGAACTAAAGCTAGAGCCCTAAGAAGTGCTCTCTCCAAAGAACACCAGTTTCTCAGCCCGCTTAATAGTCAATGTTGGGAAAGAATACCCCATGATGGCAGATGGGGTCCAAATCCTAGTTCAGCTACTTATTGGTTATCCAACTTTAACCAAGTCATTTGTTTTTTTCTGACTCTTACGTTATCTGCAAAACTGAAAATAGACTCTAAGGTACAAACTATTGTGATGTAACCTGTTGAGATGAAAAATGTTCATTTGAGACCAACACCTGAGAAAGGAAAGGCAAGGACACAAACCTGAGAGGGAGACTGCTGTGGAAGTCAGCTAGCTTGGCCAGCCTGGTGCAAATCTCTGGGTGAACATCACCGCTGAGGTGTCCCACTTGGGACTGGCTGGATTTGTTTGTTTGTTTTGTTAATCTTCACCAGAGGATATTTTCCCATTGGTTTTTAGGGAAGGTGGAAGAGAGAGGAGAAGACAGAAACATCGATGTGAGAGAAATGCCTCCCACATGAGCCCTGACCAGGGTCTGAGCCATAGAGGAATCTGCAACCAAAGTACATGCTCTTGACTGAAATCGAACCCAGGACCCTTTAGTTTGCAGGCCAATACTCTATCCACTGAGCCCAAACGGCCATGGCTCAGCTGGGTTTTTATACCCTCACCTTGCTTAGTCTTAGATGCAGACTGCCCTGAGAAGGGCATGACTTCTGCAGCTGAGGCGGATCCTAGCAAAGCTGGTGGCTTGTGGCTGTCTGTTGGCCACATTCCCTAGTCCTTCTTGGAAAGAGTTTTGGGCAGCACACCGCTATGTTCACCACACTACTCCAGGCTAATCCTATTAAAACCCAAAAGTCCAAGGGCTCTAGCAATGCTGTAGATGGACAAAATAAGCAACTGATCCATTATGAATGCCCTCACACATCACTTCTCTCATCTTGAGCATCATGTTGCATGTATGCTAGAAAGTGATCCTAATTACTTTATCTGCCTGGGTCTCTAGAACATAGTTCCCAAGCAGAGATCCAGGAAAGGTTAGGCTAAGATTTCTTAAGGCCTCAGAGCAAACAGAAGGATTCCAGACAGTTGGCCTCTGCAATCAGCAGCCTCTTCAACTTATCCTATGGTGCAGAATAAATATTATAATATTTAATATAATACTTAGGAGTGCAATGCTTTAGAATCATTAATCTTGGCCTTTCATTCAGTCACTGATCGGATACTTATTGGATATCTATTCTGCATCAGACACTAAGCTAACCATTGAAGATAGAATGGGAAACAGGTCACATAAGGTCACTGTCATTGACACACAAGCTCGTGGGGGGAAAAGATTGAACAAGTAAACGCAGGAACATAATTAGAAATAGTAGGCCCTGCAAGGTGTGGCTTAGATGGTTGAGCATCATCCCACACATCGAGAGGTCACCAGTTTTATTCCGGGTCAGAGCACATGCCAGGGTTATGGGCTCTATCCACAGTAGGAAGAGAGGAGCAGTCAATCAATGTTATGCTTTCACATTGATGTTTCCTTCTCTCCCTTCCTCTCTTTCTAAAATCACTGTTTACAAAGGAAACAGTGGTGTTATAGGAGAGAATAACAGAGTAAAAGAATAGGGAAGGTATGGCAAGAAAAGCCAGGGAGACTGGCAGGCAGCAGATCTCGCAGGGTCCTGGGAGGTATGGAATGGTGTTTACATTTTATTCTAAGTGCACAGGAAAACCACTGGAATATTTTTAAGCAATGCATATCATGATTTGATTTATATTTTCACAAAAACACTAGCAGGGTGGCAGCAATGGTGGCAGGAAGGCCATTGAAGAGTGCACTGCAGCAATCCAGACTAGAAGTGACATAGTTCACTGTGGATACTCACAGTGGAGATGGAGAAGAGTAAAAGGATTCATAACATATTTTTAAACAAGACTCAATCCTTTCTGCCCTCAAGAAGTTCACCCTCTGTTGGGAAGACAGACCTGCAAATAGATAATATAGCAAATGGTTAACTATGGTGAAAATGAAAAAATGGTACAGATGGAGCTTAGCACAAAGCATGGAGGACCTCCTGGGGAGCCAAGGTGCTCGCAGTGTGTTGAAGCCAGGGACTCAAACATTAGGAAAGTGCTGGTGCTCCTTCCAGCAGAGGTGGCCATGGGTGCGGTGGCCAAGATTACGTGCCCACAGACCTCCACCTGCAGAGGCCTTCACCGACGAAGGACCAAGCAGAATGTCTATCCCATCCTGTCTGTACCTCTTCCTTTGTGTTCGTCACTTTTTATATAGAAATCTGCATGACAGTTTTTCTCCCTGGATTTTAATCTCCTAGAAGACAGTTTCTGTGTTGCTTACTGTGACCATATTTTTTGATGAGTAAAAGTTTTCTCTAATAATAGTACCACTGATCATGTCTTCATGTTCTAGCCCTTTTCATTTCCTTCACATTGTGCCATTATTTCAAAGGTGTTGCCTTCAGGTGTACTCACTCCACTATGTTTTTGAGGGTAAAGCTCCTGTTCCCTCCTTTTGTGCCTTTTTATGGGTCCTGTATGGATCTAAATACTCAAAGGGTCGTCCAAAGATTGCTGTCTGAAATGAGTATTTTAACCACATGCAGTAGTCAATTACTAACTAGTGAACGTTTATTCCTTTGTTGGTTACCAGGATGAAGTGACTTTACCTGCTGCTGAAGGGTTTCATCTGCTTCCTGCTTCCCCAGCATGTCTACTAAAAGAAGTCAGCCATCAGGAAAGTCATCATCTCTCCTTCCAACCACTTCTCAACAACCCACACAGATCCCTTCAGAGGAAGAGTACACTGAGAGAGAGGATGACTCTCTGAAAGAGAAAAAGTATCTAGATGAAGATGACTATCTGGAGAAGGTAAAGTATCTAGAGGAAGATGACTATCTGGAGAAAATGTGTCAGAAAGGAAAGGAGTCTCTGAAGGAACAGGCATCTCTGAAGGAACAGGCATCTCCGAAGGAACAGGCGTCTCTGAAGGAACAGGCATCTCTGAAGGAACAGGAGTCTCTGAAGGAGCAGGCATCTCTGAAGGAGCGGGAACGGGCGTCTCTGAAGGAGCGAACGTCTCTGAAGGAACAGGAGTCTCTGAAGGAACAGGCATCTCTGAAGGAGCGGGCGTCTCTGAAGGAGCGGGAACGGGCGTCTCTGAAGGAGCGAACGTCTCTGAAGGAACAGGAGTCTCTGAAGGAGTGGGCGTCTCTGAAGGAGCGGGCGTCTCTGAAGGATAAGAAGTATCTACGGAAGGAAAAAGAGCATTGGGATGAAGAAGACCATCTGGAAAAGGGTAAGTATCTGGAAGAGGGACTCCCAAAAGATGGTAGCTTTAGGTGTCCACAGTGCTCAGAAAAAAACAAGAAATTTGAGATCTAGCCAAAGCTCAAATTATCAACCAACCCATGGTGTGAACAGGTAGGAAGACTCATGACTAAGTTCTATTCACAGCTTCACTAGCTATGCCCCAGAGCACCATGTTAACAGAGCAGACAGGAAGACTTGATGAATGTAGAGGAAGTTCATTAAAAAAAATGATTTTTATACCTTATTGCACAAGTAATACATGTTCATTGTATGATGTTTAAGAAATTATATATAAGCAAAAAATAGCAAAGATCTCTACCATTAGAGATGATAATTTTTTTTGCACTTTGGTGATATCCTCCCCAGACTTTATATAGTGTTTTTAACCTGGCTTTTAAAGTACATTTTTAATGTACTTGTCTTACCTAATAGTAGAGAAACATGTAAATTGACTGTAGCTTTGCTATACCCATAGCCAATCAGAGAGAGTATGCAAATTAACCCAACAAAGATGGCAGTTGATTTGCATACATACCTGGTTCCAGGGAACCTCCTTGGCACCCAGGTCACTCCCAGCCACCATCAGGCAGAGGCTTTAGGCTGAGAAGGGGCAGAGCCTGTGATGGGAGGTTTGAGGGAGGGGGAAGGAACACTGCTTCCCAAGCCTAAAGCCTGGGGTGGAGGGTCCAAGCCTGGGATCGGAGGGAAGGATAAAATATCAATGGAAACATATCCTCAGGTGAGGATAAAAAGAAAAATAAAGAAAGAAATGTCATATCCTATGAAAGACACATCCTGAAAATGCCTAAAGAAAGTTGTCATGTTTTCATGGTGAAAGAACTGGAGTCCATGTTGATGAAAATACCTGGCGGCTGTGGTGACTGGCAGTGGCTGCAGCAGCAGGGTGATGAGGTTGGCACCTTCCCCTGATCAGCCCAGTGGCCTCTCTTTGTGAGAGGCCAGACTGTGGCTTAGGTCTGCGCTTCCACTGGGGAGCGGGCTTAAGCCATCCATAGGACATCCCCAGTATGTGAGAGGGGGCAGGCTGGGCTGAGGGACCCCTCCCCAGTGCATGAATTTCATGCACTGAACACCTAGTTCTATCTAATAAAAGAGTAATATACAAATTAACCATCACTCTGCTACACCCACAAGCTAATCAGGAGTGAATATGCAAGTAAACCCAACCAAGATGGCTATGGCCATAGAGAGCAGGAGGGACACTTGGGCAATGAAGGAAGTCAAGCTTTCCACCTGCCCTTGCCAGTGTAGGTCTCCACTCAAGGCTACAAAGTTTCAATGATAGAAGGTAAACAAATCCAAACAGAAATGGCTGCCACCACAGAGTGAGTAGAAGGCTTGGCTCCACTCCAGACTACAAAGTTTCAATTATAGAAGATAAATAAATCCCAGATACCAGGGCCTCTGCTTGTGTCGCCAGGGGGCGTGGCTGGCCTGCAAACCACCACAGGCACCTTGCCCAGGTCGTCCCATGCCCCAAGGGAACCCCCACCCTGCTCTGGGACACCCTTCAGGACAAACCAGCTGGCCCCCACCCATGCACCAGGCATCTATCCTATTTAATAAAAGAGTTATATGCAGATTGACCATCACTCCAACACAAAAGATGGCTGTCCCCTTGTAGTCAAAGATCCTGCCCCCATGTGGACACAAGACAGCCACACAAGATGGCCAGCAGGGGAGGGACCAGGCCTGCAATGGGAGGGCAATTGTGGGCTATCAGGCCTGCAAGGGACAGCAATTGGGAATGATCAAGCCTGCAGGGGAAGGCAGTTAGGGGTGACCAAGCCCACAGAAGAGGGAAGTTAGGAGGGAACCAGGCCTGCAGGGAAGAGCAGTTGTCGGTGACCAGACCTACAGAGGAGGGCAGTTAAGGACAAACAGGCTGGCAGGGGAGCAGTTAGGCATCAATCAGGCTGGAAAAGGAGTGGTTAGAGGATGATCATGCTGGCAGCCAGGGGTAATCAGGAAGGCAGGCAGGCAGGCCATCAGTTTGGAGCCAGCAGTCCTGAATTGTGAGAAGGATGTCTGCCCATTTAGGTCCTATACTACTGTGACCAAGCCTAAATGGGAAGTCAGACATCCCTTGAGGGGTCCCAGGATGCAGGCTGGGCTGAGGGACACCCCTCTCCCCCATGCACGAATTTCGTGCACTGGGCTTCTAGTATATTATAATTGTAAATAAATATTACATACTTATATGAACATCATTTCATTTATTAGATTATCTAAAATTTGTTGTAATTGCCCCATTGAATTGTATTATATAATACAACTGCATAATACAAACTATAATTTTTTAAAATATTTTATTGATTTTTTTTTTTTAAGAAAGAAGAAGGGAGAGGGAGAGAAAGAGAAACATCAATATGAGTGTGAAACATCAATCTGTTTCTCCACATGTGCCCTGCCTGGGGATTGAACCCACAACCTGGGTACGTGCCCTGGCCAGAATCGAACCCATGATCTTTTGGGACAATGCTCCAACCAAATGAGCTACACCAATCAGGGCAAACCATAATATTTTTAATTGATCCTCTATTATTGATTATTCATTGCTTCTGACTTTTTGCTACTTTTTTAAACAGAATTTTGATGCCTAATTTTACCAATGACCTCCAATTATTTCCAAGAATGCATTCCCTCAATCTGTTGCTAAGTCAACAGACACTAGTATGCTTCTTAGGGTGCCTATTGGGCCGTGGGAAGGTGTCATCTTACCCTGCTGGTGAGTACTTAACTTTGGAGTTATTTCTCTCAGACTAGGGCTGGCATTTCTCCAATGCTGTATCTGTAATTGGCAACTTTTGCTTAAGTGGGGTTTTGTTATTTGGCAGTGATCTCCTAGTGCTGTTGTTAGAAGTGGTTGATATGCATTCACCCATAGGCCCACAGGGTGTCTTCCCTTGATATCATGACTGTGTGGCCTTCTCCAACTGAGTACGTGAACTTTAAAAATCCATGTCATGTGCAGCATCTTAATGTTGACATAGAAGTAAACTAAACTATTTTTCTGGATCCAGTTCTACTACCAACCACAAGTATCTCAGGCAGCTTGAATTTTTTATTTGTTTGTTTGTTTATTTATTTATTTATTTATTTTGTAAAAAACAATATATTTATTTTCTGACACCACAGCTCCGATGAGTGGTTTTGTACCAAATTTAATGGAGGTTACACAGAATGTTTTACGCATGGAAGTGGGGAGGGGAGGAACCATAAAATTAAAAACAATATCCCAGGTAGCTTTTAGCAGCTGTTCCACTCCCACATTAATAAAATTCACTTGGAAATTCCTAATAAAAGGAGAACAAAAAACGAGGTATACTGGTGAAGAAAAGACCAAGAGAAAGAAGACCCTGGAGTTCCCAAAGACAGGCCTTTCTCCCCCCACTTCCCGAAGCCAGAAGGCCATGGGCAGGCAGCTTGAATTTTAAATCTCCATCTGAAGACCGGGTGTTCTCAGCAGCCAATAGGCATTTCACCTTTAAGTCCCTCTTGATTAAATCAGATGTATTAGCCTTGGTTCCTACGACCTTTATGGATGCTTAGTTGGGACATCAAAGAGGTAATTTCTCTATTGCTGGGAAGCCCTTTTTTCTGTGAGGCAACCATTAAGCTCCTTCTCAGAATCCTAATATCCCTGCTATTCAAGTACCAAGTAAGTATAGTTTTAGTACTGAAAAATAGCATTCAAGGCCTCTCTTTTGCACAGTATGAACCAAGTATTCTTAATAAGTCTCCTCCGTGCACTGGACCTTTGCCAGTACCTACTCACTAGAGTAGAAGGAACACAATGCTGTACAGCACAGCACTGCGGGCAAAGCTTGGGGCGGTGGGCGCACGATGCCGTGTGCAGATGATGTTTTACTCAGTCGTACACTTGAAACCTGTGTGGTTTTGCAAACCAATGTCACCCCAATAAATTCAAGTTAAAGAAAGAAAGAAAAATGAAAAATAAATGCCTTGCTAAAAAAAAAAAAAAAAAAAAAAAAAAAAAAAAAAAAAAAAAAAAAAAAAAAATGGGAGTGGCATCTAAAACCCTGTAGGGGAATGCTAAAATGCCTTTAAAGGCACATGGCAGGATGTCTTGATCTATGAAGACTCTGTATAAGAGGTTTACAAAAAGAGTCTTAACTTTTCAAAAGGATTTACATCAAAAGTTATGAGGAATAGTGTCCTCATTAAGACATAACTTCGTTTATCCTTTGTTTTAAGCCTCGGTGCATAACAAGAGTGCCTTCCTGATCCAGATAGCAGATGTTCGGTAAATGCAAATTGAATCAAGTTCAATTTCATTCATTTCATAAAGTCAAGCATATGTATACACACACATTTATTTTTTAAACAACTTTGTGAATTAATTAGAGCCTATAAAATGAGCCCTAGAGATGACAAATAGGCTTCCATCTCTCGTGCTGATGGATTAGTTCCTTGAGATTTAACATGGTGGGGCACTATGTTAAGGAGGATTCTGAGTCTCCATTTGGATTCGGCAGGAAAGAGGGCCATGATCTACTAGCCAAAGGATCAGGTGCGAGAGAAGGAGGGTAAGCGTCATTTATTTGTCATTTGGTGACAGATATTAGTAAGTCTGACACAAAGAGCTGTTTTCTTCCTCTCTTCGGGACTTGCCTGACCAGATTTGAATGCCAGCTCTCCTCCACTTAGTAATTGCACAAGGTTGGGCAAGTCACTTAACCTCTTGTGTTTTGGTCTTCTTAACTATAATTAGAAAAAACGGTTGACCTACCTTACCGGTGTTTGTGAGAATGAATGGAGTTAATTGTATAAAACATTATGAGCTATACCAGGCGCGTAATTTTATTTTTTTATATTTTTAAATATATTTTATTGATTTTGTACAGAGAGGAAGGGAGAGAGATAGAAAGCTAGAAACATCGATGAGAGAGAGCCATCGGTCAGCTGCCTCTTGCACACCCCCTATTGGGGATATGCCCGCAACCAAGGTACATGCCCTTGACCGGAATCGAACCCAGGTCCCTTCAGTCCCCAAGCCGACGCTCTATCCATTGAGCCAAACGGGTCTGGGCTGGGCATGTAGCTTTAAAGCCTCTTAATTGTAAGCTGTTTATTATAGTATTGTTATTATTATTGTAGTTTATACTTCCCTGCCATTGACTTGTGAAGGGTCCTTTACACTCCTCCCTGGCTACACTTGCCCACTTTGTGAAGTGGACATGACAAAAAGACAAGAAAAGATGAAATGAACTAGAATGTGGGAGGAATCTGTGCCGACCACCCAACGACCTATAGGCAGGTGAATATCAGAGCTTCCACCTGCACTGGACAAGTCAGGCTGGGGTCAGACTAACTACTGCCTCCCCATCTCTCCTTTACAGGGATGATTTTCCCCTTGGTTTGTGGGGAAAAACAAAATTAGACGAGCAACTTGAATATAAATGCAGCATCAATCACCACTGAATAATCAATAACCATATATGGCTGGTCTCCCCAGAACGTTGCAAATAGCTTTTATAAAATGTGAATAGTCCTAATTGGTTTGGCTCAATGGATAGAGTGTTGGCCTGCAGACTGAAAGGCCCCAGGTTCGATTCCGGGCAAGGGCATGTACCTTGGTTGTGGGCACATCCCCAGTAGGAAGTGTGCAGGAGGCAGCTGATTGGTGATTCTCTCTCATCAGTGTTTCTCTCTATTCCTCTCCCTTCCTCTCTGTAAAAAAAAAATCAATAAAATATATATTTTTTTAAATAAATAAATAAATAAAAATAAAAAGAATGTGAATAAACACTGTGGGTTCAAAGTCAGAAGAGCCAGCACATGGTAGGGCCTTTGACCTTGGCATGAATGTCCTGCATTCCCTGGGGTTCAGTTTCTCCGTGTGTGATCGCGCCTTTCTGCGCCGGGGGAAGAAAGAACACTGCTGCTTCAATGAAAGCTCTCCCGCAGCATGCAGTTCATTGTGGAGGAAGATGCTGAACCCCACGACCAGTTACCCCGCCTCCGCGCTGCTCCTGTACAAACAGCATCGTCTTCTGTGTTTTCTTGCCCTAAAGAAGGTCGGGAGCACAGTCCAATGGCATCGGGTGTATACAGTGTATTTCACAGCCTCTGCCTCCTTCCATTCTCCCAGCCATTAGTTACCCCTCCCTTCACAAACAAGGAACCTGGAACTAGCAGGAGAAAGGGCAGTGGAGCATTCCAAGCTCGGGGAGCACTAATTAGAAGAGCCAGGACAGGCTCCCAAGACTTCTCTTCTTTTTGTTCCGATCACTTCCTTTTCTTCTCTCCTTCCCTTTCCCCTATCATCCTTTGTTTACGCTTTTTAGTAAATTGTATGCATACTTTAATTTTAGGGCAGGGACATAAAGAGAAATAAAATCTATTTTTTTTATTTTTAATGGAAAATTTAAAAACTAGAAACACATCACCCAACCTACCAACATCAAAATATTAAAAAAAAACAAAAAAACTGATTCACATTTTAGTCATTACTATTCTGTCCTCCCACCCTTAGTTTTTGCATACCCAATGGTTGTGGTTCCTGGTTTTGTTTTGTTTTTCCTGGTTTAAACATACTTTATATACAGGTTTGTATTTTACTTTTTTAACTTCAATATTTGCCTCTGTTGCTTAATTTTTGGAGACTTCATTTTAATTGCCAAGTAATATTCCTCAATAATGTCCTGTCACATGAGTAAACTGTAAGTATAAGCATTGAACATGTAAGTTTCAAGTTCAAATTTTCTGATTATCATTTCTTTACTGTTTCCACTGTACCATACTAGAATTGGTGGCATATTTTATCCCAATTGTACACGAAATTCTTGATGTTATATCATTCAAGGCAAACAGGTGGTTAAATGACAAACAGGTTCTTCCAAGTAAAAACATAATATTTATGATATTTATATTCTCTGAACCTCAGTCACCTTTTCTGTACAGTTATTCTCCATCCCATGACAAAGGGAGCCCCTGTGATAACTCAAAAGATTAACACAGCAAATTTGAATTTCCAAAACCATGATTTCATGAAAAGTATTTTCTTGAGTTTTCTTTGGTAATATAAAATTTCAACCATAGAACTTCTGAAGGAAACAATTTAGAGAGACAACACTAAGGAAAAGTAAAAATAAAATAAAAATTTGGGCCTCTCCACTCCAACCACAGTAACATATACTTAGCAACACATTTTTAAACAGAAAGAAAGATGGTTTCTTTTTTCCCCCCAATATTGTCTTTCTCTTCTTTTTTTCCAATAGGACTCAATGTGATTTATACATCGCTCACCCTGCCTAATCTTAATGAAAGGTAATCATTTTCTTTTTTGGTAAATCGGGTGGAAATTCATGCTCAGGGATAATCTTTCAGGAGCCCTTAGCTTTCCAAAGATGGGGGCGGGGGGGGGGGGCGGGAGCCGAGAAGTGGGATGCAGGGAGTAGGTCCCTGAGTAAGGAGGGGATCATTCGATCAGGATGAGGGCTCTTGGAAGTCACACACACACACACACACACACACACACACACACACACAGGATCACCTCCCAGTACTGCCCTCCTCTGCCGCTCAGTCACTCACAGAGTCCTGGCAGCCAGAACTACAGAATTGAAAGGGCAGGGGGACTGAGTTTGAGCTGGAGAGAGAGAGAGAGAGAGAGAGAGAGAGAGAGAGAGAGAGAGAGAGAGAGAGAGAGAGAGAGAGAAGAGAGAAGAGAGAAGAGAGAAGAGAGAGAGAGAGAGAGAAAAGAGAGCGAGCAATGGGCCCTCGGGCAGTGCCCGGGATGAGTAGATGAATGAATGCCCAAAAGGAAGTTGCAATCTTCCTTGCTCGGGCATACTTCCAAAGTCTAAATGATCATTCAATGAGGATTCATTAAACTGCCCCAGGGCTTGGCACACACTAGACAGTCAATAACATACCTATGGGGTAAATGATTGAAATGCCTTAAATGTGCTCAGCTCTGTGGAAACGTGTGGGGAGGGGGAAGGTACACAAGACTTATGATTCACAGTCCTAGTCCTTGAGTCTGGGTCCCTACAATCCCTTCCCAAAGCATGATTATTCCTCTCCACTGGGAGATGGGTTGACACTAGATACAAAGAAAGCACAAGGCCTGTTTGGTTGTGGTGAGAGGCAGGAACAAAATCCCAGCGCTGCGGCATTGGGAAACAACAGATTACAGCTTAGGGGCCCCGGGCTCCATGCAGGGGTACCCCTCGGCCTGACAAGGCTGGCTTCCACTCCTACTCTCCACTTGTCCTTCCATTCCACACTTCACACTCCCAGAGGCCAAAACCGTGGATCTGATAGGATCACCCATCAGGGTGATGTAGAAGAATGACCTTTTAAAGACCCCCCCTTGCCTCTGTTACGGACACACCAAGACCATTAAGCAATGCGGCAGCGAAGGGCCCAACCTGCAGTGACCGGGGTGAGAGGGAGGGCAGGAGGGAAGGCTGTGCTTGAGAATGGGAACTCTGGAGCCTGGGTTTGCATCACAGCTCCTCCAGCCGTGTGCCATAGGGCAACCACTTACTAGACCTCTGCCTCGCTTTTCTAATCTCAAATACGCGGCAGTGGGTTTAGGCCTCACGGGCTGTGGTGAGAATAAATGAGTATGAGCTCGTGGGGCACTGAGAACAGTGGTCAGTGCACAGGGCACGCCAGTGGGTGCTAAGGCCCTTTGTTGTTCTCTGTTCTGCGCCCTCGAGTCCACATGGGAACTTAGGGTGCTCAGGATGAGGATCGTGGTCCCTGGCCAGCTTTATGCCAAGCTCAGCCTTTCTCCAGAGGTTAGCTGAGTGGGTTTTCTGTTCCAGGGGTCCTGAGGAAAACGTGGCGACCAGAGAGGCCTGTCCATGTGCTCTGTGGCTTGGGTCCCCAGAGGCCAGGTCTGAACCTTGGGTGCTCAGACAGGCCCCGGATTTTCCTCATATGAGGTTGCTAAGAGAACGAACCCTCCACAAACCCCTTTAGGCAAGAGGCGTCACACTCGTGTTTATTAAGGTCAGGAGTGAGAAAAGCGAACAGATTCAAGTGTTTCCTGGGTCCCTTATAAATAGGAAGGCTCCCTCTCCCCCTCCACAACCACACCCCAAAGGTCCCCAAGCACAAAGGCCCAGTCCCCTCTCTGAAGAGGCTGCAGAAGACCACCTGGAACCAATGCTCCCTGGAATCCAGGATCCAGTGGGTCCCCTTCGAACTCTCCCCATTGCGGATGGGCCAGGGAGCAAGTGTTTGCTCCCGTTTGGTGGGTGCTGAGGCCACAGCGAGCCCTGGCAGGTGCCCCGAAGGCCCTGCAATGTCCCAGCCTGGGCAGTCATGCAGGGAGGGTGCTAAGCAGATGTACACAGAGATGGAGATAACCAGCACGGCCCACCATTGCCTTAAGTGCATTTCCTATGCTGTTTGGCGGCTGTGGCCTCTCAAGGTCCTTTCATGAGGGTTCCAATTATCTCCTTGCCTCTCAGTGGGCATCTGAGGAGTGAGGTAGGACAGACATTATCCCACTAGAAGGACAGAGCCCAGAAGGGGCTCCTGGCCTGGTCTTGAGGCCTGGAGCAGGGCAAGAGTTGACACTTGTGTCCACTAGTTCTTAAGCCCTGCAGTCACCTGGCCAGGACCCAAGCATCTTGCCAGGTGACCCAGGGCCCCTTTCAATGGTCCATCCTGGGAACAGCCACTCTGCCCCAACCCACTGGCCGGCACAGACCCAGGCCCACCCACAAAGTGGCACAAGACCCACCTGGAATGCCCACAGATGCTGAAAGAGAACAGCTTTCTATGGTGTCTCCTGGGTGAGAAGAGCAGCCTCCTCCTCTCTCCCTCAGCCTCTTCACCAGCAGCCCCTTCCCTGCCCTGTTCCTGCCTTGGGAGCCCTGACCCAGGCAGAGAGGGCCTGTCTCAGAAGGGCTGCTGAGCTTTGTACTTCCCCTATGAGAATAACAGCAGCCAACGTTGCCCCCACCTCATTTTGCCCTCACCTGGTCCCTTCTACCCTGTGAATCCACCATCAGGCATGGGCAGAAGTCAGCAGGCTGGAGAGCAGCCACCATCACCCCAACTTCCCAGCAGGTCGTGCATGGGTTCCTACCTGGCCCCTGCTGGGAGGTTGACTGAACCCTGTGCTCCCCTCTGACAGAAGCCCAACTGCTGGCGTCTCTCAGACGAACGTCTTCCTCACCGTCACTCCTCCCACCTCTGAATCTGCCAGCAAGTCTCCTCAGCCTTCCACAGAGCCTTCTGTGGCCTCCAAGAAGGATAGCAGAAGATCCATGCCCTGGCGAGACCGGGGCACGCAGACAAAAAGCGCCTATGACAGCCAGGGTAAGAGGATGGCACCTGCTGCCCAGCCCAGCAGGGCTCTCTGGTGGCAGCCGCGGGGGGGTGAGAGGGGGAGGGGAGTGCATTCCAGGCCTGTGAAACATCAGAGCTAAGGACTCTCTCAGGCTGATGATATATACTGCTTCCTGCGCCATTTGAAGTTGTATTTTGGGTAAGAAGTTAAATTCCTCTGCTCGTCCCATCACAGCCTTCCTCCGTCCCAGGCCTTTCTTGGGGAAAGAGCATCAGCAAAGTATCAAGGCAGTTTCCTTCTTCAGGCTTTCCCTGTCTCTTCGTTCGCCTTCCTGTTCTTATTCTGCGTGAGCATAGAGCCTGTTTCCCTCAGAGACCATTTCCTTCCCGGATCACAGAACAGTTCCCGAGGTGACAGGCTCCCCCAGACTCCCTGCCCATTGAGCAGTCAGAGCCAGCCCTGATGCAGGACCAACCAAGCCAGCCCCGTGAGGTTTGTGGCCACAACTGGGAGACTCAAGAGAAAGTTCAGCAAGGTTGCAGTGGGCAACAAAAAGGCCTCTCACTCTAGGATCCTGGCATGGGAGGCTCAACAGCATTTGTCACCATTATTAATAATTCAATCCAGCCTTGGGGAGATTGATCCATCACGGATTCACAGATCCATTTCATATCTGTAGTCATGGCAGCAATAAATTAAATTTCCCCGTCACCTCAACTCCATGCCCCCATCTGTGCTGCTAAATTTTTTTAAAGTAGATTTTACTAATTTTTCACAGAGAGGAACAGAGAGGGAAGAGAGTTAGAAACATCAATGAGAGAGAGACATCGATCAGCTGCTTCTTGCACACCCCCTTCTGGGGATGTGCCCGCAACCAAGGTACATGCCCTTGACCGGAATCGAACCTGGGACCTTTCGGTCCACAGGCCAACGCTGTATCCACTGAGCCAAACTGGCTTCGGCTGTGCTGCTAAATTTTATAGCTCAAATGTGATTAGATGAAATTAGAAGCCAGAAACCCCATAAGAAGTGTGGAGAGAGAAGGCGCAGCCCACACAGCTAGAGATCGGGGGTGCAGGCAGCACTTGATGAGGAGTGTTTTACAGGCAAAGTCGAGTCATGTCGGACCTTTGTCAGCATCTGTGTTCCGATGGGGCCCCAACAACTGGAACCATTTCAAAGTCAGTAAGCATGACAGCTGGGGAAAATCTGAGCATTTCTCTAAATCAGTGGTTCTCAACCTTTCTAATGCTGTGACCCTTTAATACAGTTCCTCATGTTGTGGTGACCCCCAACCATAAAATTATTTTCCTTGCTACTTCATAACTGTAATTTTGCTATTGTTAGGAATCATAATGTAAATAACTGTGTTTTCCGATGGTCTTAGGTGACCCTGCTAGTGGTTCTCAACCTGTGGATCGCGACCGTTGCTGTAGAGCCTAAGACCATCGGAAAACAGTTATATGAAGGGTTATGTGAAGGGTTTTCTTTTTCCTTCTGCCTAGAGTTTACAATATAATTTTCTGGAAAGCACTGGCAATAATTGGGAAAAACTTGCCAGAAATAGGTGCATGATTATATCTGACCAATGAAATGGAGCAAAAATGTAACAAAAAGGCTTCTCTGAGAGATTAGTTACACAGAAAGAGAGAGAAGTGTGAAGGTAGAAACCAGGAAATGTGGAGGCCCTGGAAGCCAGAAGAGATCAAAACCAGGCAAGAGGAGGAAGGGAAGGTGACACAGGGCAAACGATCTGTGAGTGATGAAAGTGTGGCCCCTGCTAAGAAGGAAAGCCAGCCCTCCTCCGCTGGAGAACAGAGCACGAAGGCTTCCCCAGCGAGGCAGATGCAAAAAAGACTCTACTTTCAGCCCATGACAGACACCACCCAGCCACCTGTCAGAGAAACATGGACAGTCAAGACAACAGCAATCCAATGAGCCGGTAGTTTGAGGCCAAGGGTCAACAGAAGCATGCAGAGATGACAGCAGGTGTCAGCACTGCTGGTCCACCAGGTCCAAGACTGTGCACCCTGCTGCTGGGAGCTGGCACAGAGGCACATTCCCAGGCTTTTTTATCAGGATCCCCCCTCACATCCTTAACAAGATCCCCAGAGGATTCCAGGTACAGGGAGGTTGGAGAACCACGCATCTCAAGCATAGGATTCATATAATGGGTTCAAGGTTCCTACTTTTAAAACTTTTTTTATTGACTGTTTAAACCCAGTGGGCCAGAAACAGCAATTTACATTGGCAAAGCCCTGTGCATGTTAGGTTGTAAAGTTAGTTAGTCATGTCCTTCTAGTGCTAGTTAATTTTAGCTTCGCTGTCAAGAAAACTGAAATCAGACTTTGAACAGGATGTGGAGGAAAAACAGGTAAATTCTTAAAACCTTAGGACAGCGAGTGGAAGGAATGCTAAGAGTACCAGAAACACCTTGCCGCCCACGTGAGGCGTGAGCTGAAGGAGGACCAGAAAGGCTGTTGGTGGCCTAGGGTGTCCCCCTGTGCAGGTACACAGCAGGGTCAGAAGCAAAGCACCCCCAAAGCTCTGACACAGAGCAGTGCCTCCTTGCTGGTAGCAACCCTCAAGACTTGGTGCCTGGCACAGAGTAAGCGCCTATACATAGTTGTAAAATACTTGTGAAATTGTTGTTGACACCATATCTGATTCAGAGCAGATACGGTGATTACAGGGTATATGCTACTTTCAAAACACAGCATTGCTAGGAAGGGAACTGGGTCTAAAAAAAATGTGTGTGTGGGATGCCAGAACTGGTTTAACTCAGTGGTAGAGCATCGGTCTGCGGACTGAAGGGTCCCAGGTTCGATTCCTGTCAAGGGCATGTACATTGGTTGCGGGCACATCCCCGGTGGGGGTGGTGCGGGAGACAGCTGGTCGATGTTTCTTTCTCATCGATGTTTCTAGCTCTCTGTCTCTCTCCCTTCCTCTCTGTAAAAAATCAATAAAATATATATATTTTTAAAATTGTGTGTGTGGGAGACAAACAGAAAGAAGGGAAGTGCTATCAGTCAAGTAATTTACTTTCCCGCCACCTGGCCAGACGGAGAAGACAGTTGGAAAAGCTGTCTTCAAAAGCACAAACCAGCGTTTGCATGTGGTTCCCTCAGTGGACTCGTGTTTTGAAAAATCACACACAGAGGTTTAAAAAATAAGAATGTTATGTACAATAAATGTAGGAAAATGGCTCAAGCTTTAAGCACAGTGTCAGGAGATCTGCAACCAAGGTACGTGCCCTTGACCAGAATCGAACCTAGGACCCTTTGGCCCACAGACTGATGCTCTATCCACTGAGCCAAGCTGGTTAGGGCTTAGGTCACTTTTAGGCAGTAAGCTCAGGGAATGGTAATCCAGTAGACCCAAATTATACGATGTGTTTCATTTTCAAAGCCTTCCTGTTGTTCCTGTGGACAAGATAGAGAAATATCGGGGATGCCACTGTAAGATGATGCAGCGGTGACTGTTGAATAACCACTGGAGGTACTATTTAAGGATCAGAGTCAACCTAGTTTTCAGCAGGGAGACACACACATTTTATCATAGACTGGGTAGAGATATAGAATGGAGATTTGTGTTTGTAGATAATCTGAAGCTGCTGAGTGATGGGAATAATGTAATCAGATTCTTGACAAACAGAAACGTGGGACCAGAACCAGTTAGATAGAAGATAATGGTAATTTATATTAGATACTGCTGTTAGATCGACAAAAACAATGGGATGAAATGTAAGGTAGGGAGGCCCTGTTTGTTGTAGGTGTTAGTCAACTACAAGTGCAATAAGTCAATGACGAAGTTAAAATAGCCAAACATCATTAAAAGATTCTATAAGGAGGGAGTAGTCCTGCTCTAGCCTGCACAGCTGTTCTCTCCAAGAGCTGTCACACTGTATGAGGTCAGAAGCAGACCAGTGGGTCTTGGAGGAGAGGATGGTGGTGGGCAGACCAGAGGCTATACCGCTCAAAGAACTGTTGAAGCAAAGGAGGTGTTGAGTCTGGAAGGCACACATCTCTGAGACAGCGTAACTGCCTTACAAGTATCCGATGATCAGCCATGCAAAACCAAGACCTGACTTCTGCATCTGAATTGAAGGTCTAGCGTAGGACTGGCTTTGCGAAATACATTAAGAAATTCTTCCTAACAGTGAGAGCCATGCTACAGCGGAATGAGTTGGGGAGTTCTTGGTCTTTGGAGTGCTCCATCTCAGGCAATGACTCGCACATGTGCAAAGGCGTCCAGGCACCATAGGCCAGGTCAAAGCCTGACCCTCCTGCTAGCAGGTGGTGCAGTTTGGCTTTCCTTTCCCTTCATAGGCCTGCCCCTCTCCACTATGAAGCATAGAACCTAGGGTGTGTGCATGCACATGTGTGCGCACATATGTTTCACAGTTAGAAGAGGGGGAGATGAGAATAGGGAGGCAAAGGATTGAGAATTGCAAAATTCCAGAAGACATAAAGTCAGCCTCACCAAGAACTTTTAATCAGCTTAACAATAACCCACAACCTTCGGACCAACTTCACCAAGAACTTTTAAAAGTTTTCAAAAAACTACAGGAGCTTCCTGTGTTTCCCAGTCAGCCCCCAGTATGCACCTTTGGGGAGCAAGAAGACAAGAAACACCACTTCCTTCTGTATCAGCCATACCCTATTGTTTATCTACATGGTCTTGGAGCCACTTGGCTCTATTGTTCTAAAGCTACAAGGTGTATGCTCAACCCGTCATGCTAGCTATCCTAGAACCTTAAATGGACTCCTGGTGATCAGAGGAGAAGGCCACAGAGGGGCTACATTTCCTAACCATTGGTTCATTTCAGTCCTCCTCTTCTGTCTTTTTTTAAATATGTTTTTATTGATTTCTGCGAGAGGAAGGGAGAGAAAAAGAACTATAGAAACATCACTAATAAGAGAGAATCATTGATTGGCTGCCTCTTGCACGTCCGCTACTAAGGATCGGACTTGCAACCCGGACATATGCCCTGACTGGTTCATGGGTCAATGCTCAACTATGAACCACACCATCCCAGCCACACTCTTTTGTCTTTTAACAGAACCTTCAACATCAAAACAAAAATTAGAGCAAGAAGCCCTAACAATACTACAGATTCCAAAGTTGGATTCAGAAGGTATCATTTTAATCTTATAATTTGATGATTTTAAAAGATTTGCGGAAGTTACAAATCCATCCAGAAGAAAATAAGAAGCACAGAATTATCAGGCCCCCAGCCAAAGAGAGTCCTCTTTTGACCTTTTTAGACTAGGACTTTTTAGACTAAGGATAATTAAAGCCAGATACCAAAGCATTTTTTCTAGGGCTTAGTGTCAAAGCTCAAGAGTCATGTAAGAAACTGAACCAAATTTAAATTTGAATTAAAATTGAATTTTGAAAGGGGAGGAAATAGTATTTTCCAGTGGGGTTAAGAGGCAGCATAATGGGGTATTCATATTCAGTTCATTCCATGGCATTTACTGTATGCCTCCTGGCACTTATTATACACCTTCTGTATATTGGGCAGGATATAAAGATGAATAACTCCATCATACCCTCTCAGAACTTATAGTGGGTAAAGTAAAATATAAACAAAAAAGAAAGGAATCAATATGTATTGAGCATAAGCTACAGACTTCAAACTGCTAAAGATCATGGAAGCTTCTTGTCCCAAAATATGTGATCTCCATCTTGGCCTTCCCAGCCATTTAGGAGATGATTTTAAATTGATTCCTTCAAGGTCTGGACTAATTCTTTTTAGTATATGAAGTGCCACAGGAGGAAGAAAATGGTGAGAGTCCCATGTGATATACCCAAAGCTCCCTGCTTCTCACAGAGTCCTGGGCTGGGCATGCTGTCCCGGGAGGTGGGTCCAGGCTGGACCAAGCCCTCGAGAGGACCTAGGGACATGCTGGGTACACAGCCCGGAACCTGGGTGTGCTGCCTCCCTATCCTTCCTGAAGAAGGGAGATAGATAACAAAACAGAGAGGGTCTCTGGAGCAACACAGAGTGACCTGGCATAGAACCAAAAGTCCATCTCTCTACTCAACCTTTGGTACAGGGACTCCCACATTTAAAGAATGTCTAGTTGGTGGCTGGGTTCCCTGAGGTCTGGGAAGCAGGACTTGGCTGGACTGCAAGAGATCACTGATGACACCTTGGTAAGGAATAAGTTAGCCCTTACAAACTTATTGCATTTTTATTAAGGAGAGTTCATTGAATCTCTTGAGGGAGAAGGACAAGGGAGAATCCTTATGGCAGTAGAATCCCAACTTGCATACATCACTTCACAAAACAAAAGCCCTGCAATTAGCCAGGCCATCCTATTAGACAATAATTTAGGCACTGTGTTCTGTTATCTCAGTGGGTGTGAGGGAAGTTGGGGTGGATCAGAGCTTTGATCCTAATACACAGTGGCTTATCAAACAAACTTTTTCAGACTCTAGACTCTGCCACCCCACCACCACCACCACCACCACTACCTCTTCCCCAGAAGGGTACAGATCAATTGAATTTATTTTATTCCATTTCTGGTAAGGGAAAGTGTTAGGAGCTGTGCTGTTCAGACTTTAATGTGTAGAGAAAGAACCAGGGGTCTTGTTAAAATGCAGATTCTGACTCAGTAGGTCTGAGGTCCTGCATTTCTCTCAAACACCAGCAGCAGGTGCTGCTGCTGCTCCAAGGATCACACAAGGTTCCAGATCAGCTTATGGATTTGTGCCTTTAGGAATCACCAGTCCAGCCCGTGGCCCACCTGTCTATGGTAGAAAGGAATTCACTGCATGAAGGGTGGAAGAGGTGAAAAGAGCACTGAGTTGCAGAGCTGGGCTGCTCATTCCTTGGAGTGGGCACCCGGCTGGTTATTCGTTGCCATTCCCCACCCTCATCTCATCTCTATCAGGGGATCTGTCCTGCAAGGCAAACACTCATGGCTCCAACAGCTCTCCCAGGTTCAGGGACTGTAGTTCTGTCAAGAAAAACATTTGAAGAGGAGGGAAGATGGCGGAAGAATAGATGGGCGGATTCTGAGCCCTCTCCCGAAGCAGAAAGAGAGAGCAACTGATGGTCTTGAGCTGTGAGTGTTTAGTAGCAAGCTGGGAGACAGCGAACACCAGAAGAAACTGCTGGGGGGCTGCTGACAGAGGCACCCCTCACAGGGAAGCACCCACGCGGGCTGCGTCCCTGCCCTGAGCTACCTGCCGGCTTGGATAGGGAAACCTCGCCATCTTGAGAGGAAGATAGGATCGTGTCAGAGGCCTGAATATCAACAGCCGCAGCGACCAACAAGCAACTGTGACCCCCAGAATGCGGATCCCAGGCGGCGCGAACACCTGGCCCCACAGGAGTGCCACACTGCTCGGCGAAAAGGTCAGATTTCGCGGGGAGAGGGTGGAGCGCACTCGCGGCGAAAACAAAGCCTGTGCGCACAGAGCGCGCCGAAGCCGGAGGACAAGGGCGGCGATTACAAGTAGAAGCCCCCGCTGTTGGGCGAGTGTCACCCGTGAAAGTGGACGGGGCTCCTAACAGGGGAGATATCTAAAGAGCAACACATTTGGATCTGGCGCGGAGGGGTATCGGAGAGTTGCGGGAGATTGAGGTTGCTCGGACCTGCCCCCTCCCCCCTCCGTAGTTCCTGCTTCAGAGAGGACTAAAAAAAAAAAAGCTAGAGAGGCTCTAGAGTCTGGGAAGTCAACCTAGAAACACTGCCCCCAGAGGCTAATTCACAAATTGACTCTAGTGTAATAAAAACAAAGCAAAACCTGCCTAAAACTCAGGACTGGATCATAACAATAGAGGAAGCGAATGACCTTCATTACTGCAAATTTTATTTAAATTTTTTAAATTTTATTATTTTTTAAATTTTTAAATTTTGTTTTTTTATTTTTGTTTTCATTATTTGCAAAGTTTACTCAAGAAACTATTTTTTTTCTTTTTCCTCACTTGATTTTATCTTTATAATTACTACAATGTACTACTACTAAGTTACCTTTTTCATCTTATTTTTTTTGTTTATTTTTATTATTTTTATTTCATTTGAATATATATATATTATATATATATATATATATTATTTCAGGATTACTGTTCTACAGGCTTTATCTATCTTTCCTTCTCCAACGCTTTATTCTATCTCAACCTATCCTTTATGCCTTCACCCTCTTTCCGATATTTTCCTTTGGTACCCCGTTTATCTTAACCCTTACCTGCTCTAGATTTTCCCCATTCCTTCTGTCTACCCCCTCCTAAAATTTCACCCTACTTCTATATATCTAATTTCCAAATACTTGCTCCGAGCCCATTCACACCTCCCTTGCAGTTGTCCTAAAAACAAAACAAAACAAAAGTCTTTCTCTCTAACACTTTGAAGTTGTATGTTGAATGTTAACTATACTGAAGTTGTATGCTTTTGTTTATAAGATTGATTTGATATGCTTTTTGTTTGATTGTATGTTTTTGCTAGCTGGGTTCTAGTCACCCTTATTGGTGGTTATTAATATTTCAAACACATCCCGATTCAGTCCCCTGTGTGTTGTACCTGGTTGTGTTGTATTTGGCGCCTTTAAATCAAAGCAGGAGAGAGAGAGAACTACACAACCAGTCATCCTAGATCATGGGGAGACCAAAACATAGCCCGCATATGAAAGAAAAGCAGGCCTCACCAGAAAAGGAAGTAAACGAGATAGAGGGAAGCAACCTACCAGAGCAAGAATTCAGAGTAATGATCATAAGATGGCTAAAAAGAATGGAAGACAAATTTGACAATATGAGTAAGAACCAAGAGGAAATGAAGAAGAACCAAGAGGAAATGAAGAAGAACCAAGAAGAAATGAAAAATGACATCGCTACTGTAAAGAACTCAATAGAAAGCATCAAGAGTAGATTAGAAGAAGCAGAGGGCCGCATCAGTGAGCTAGAAGACAAGATGGAAAAAAATACCCAATTAGAACAGCTTCTGGAAAAAAAAATTAAAAAACAGGAGGAAAGTCTAAGGGAACTCTGGGACAATACAAAACAAAACAATATTAGAGTAATAGGGGTTCCAGAAGGAAAGGGAATTGAGGAAGACATGGAAAACGTATTTCAAGAAATAATGACAGAAAACTTTCCTGAGATAGAGAAGAAAAAACCCACACAAATCCAAGATGCTCGCAGAGTCCCAAGCAAATTGAACCCCAGAAAATCAACCCCTAGACACATTATAATTAAGCTGGCAAACACCTACGACAAAAAAAGAATTTTAAAAGCAGCCAGAGAGAGACAGAAAGTTACATATAAAGGAACCCCCATCAGACTAGCAACTGATTTCTCCACAGAAACTTATCAGGCCAGAAGGGAATGGGATGAAATATACAAAGTCATGCAAAGGAAGGGTCTGAATCCAAGAATACTGTACCCAGCAAGGCTATCAATCAAAATTGAAGGGGAAATCAGGAGCTTCACAGACAAAAACAGACTAAGGGAATTTATCTCCACCAAACCAGCAATGCAAGAAATGCTAACAGGTCTACTGTAAAATTAAAGAAATAGAAAGCAAAGAAGGAACACAGGGGTATAGAATAAAAATGGCGTCAAATAAGTATCTATCAATTATAACTTTAAATGTAAATGGACTAAATGCTCCAATCAAAAGACATAGGGTAACGGATTGGATAAGAAAACAAGACCCATATATCTGTTGTCTACAAGAAACCCACCTCAGAAAAAAAGATGCACACAGACTGAGGGTGAAGGGATGGAAAAAGGTTTTCCAGGCAAATGGAAATGAAAAAAAAGCTGGGGTAGCAATACTTATATCTGATAAGTTAGATCTCAGAGTGAAGGACATAACAAGAGATAATGAAGGCCACTTTATAATACTAAAGGGAGCAATCCAACAAGAAGAAATAACCCTGGTAAATATATATGCACCCAATACGGGAGCACCCCAATATATAAAAAAACTGCTGGAGGACATTAAGGGAGAGATTAATAGCAATACAATCATAGTAGGAGATCTTAATACCCCACTGTCACCCTTTGACAAGTCATCTAAACAAAAAATCAGTAAAGAAATATCAATCCTAAATGACTCGCTAGACCAGATGGAATTAATCGACATCTTCAGAACATTCCACCCCAAAGCCACAGAATATACATTCTTCTCAAGCGCACATGGGACATTCTCAAAGATAGACCACATTTTGGGACATAGGCAAAGTCTCTTCAAATTCAAGAAGATAGAAATCATATCAAGCATCTTCTCAGATCATAGTGGCATAAAACTGGAAATTAACTACAACGAAAAAAATCCAAAGAAATCAAACACATGGAGATTAAACAGCATGTTATTAAACAAGGACTGGGTTACCAGAGAAATCAAGGAAGAAATTAAAAACATCCTGGAAACAAATGACAATGAAAACACAACTATCCAAAATCTATGGGACACAGCAAAAGCAGTTTTGAGAGGGAAGTTCATATCCCTACAAGCCTATTGCAAAAAACTAGAAAAAAGGGTAACAAATGATCTAACTCTACAACTCAAAGAGTTAGAAAAAGAGCAACAAGAAAAGCCCAGTGTAAGCAGAAGGAAGGAAATAACAAAAATCAGAGCACAGATAAACGACATAGAGACCAAAGAAACAATACGTAAGATCAACAAAACCAAGAGCTGGTTCTTTGAAAGAATAAACAAGATAGATGGACCCCTATCCAGGCTAACCAAGAAACAAAGAGAGAGGACCCAAATAAACAAAATCAGAAACGAAAGAGGTGAAATAACAACAGATCCCGCCGAAATACAAATGATT